GGATGACGGCTCAGAAGCCCCTACCTCTGGGCCGGGAACAGTGGGACTCAGTACCTTGGTCTGGTGGTCTGGTGTCCTCTGCGTCTTTGTAGTGTGGAATCAGGTGGCTGCCTGTCTGCAGCGGGCTGATTCGGCGTGTGTTCCACGTGACTGGGGACCTCGGTAGGGTGTGGGCAGACCTGCCTGTCTGCAGCGAGGTGATTCGGTGTCTTCTGATTCATTGTATTTTTTTTCCAGTGTCTTGTTGAATATTTTTGCATCTATATTCACTAAAGAGATTGGACTATAGTTCTCTTTTTTGGTTGGATCTTTGTCTGGTTTTGGAATCAGGGTAATGGTAGCTCGCAAGATTGACTTTAGGAGTACTCCTTGCCTTTCAATTTCATCAAAAATCTTGAGAAATATTGGTGTTAGAACTTCCCTGAAATTTTTGTGGAACTCAGCAGTGAATCCATCTCAACCTGGGCTCTTCTCAGTTGCTAGGTGTTTTATTACTTCTTTGATTTCATTGCCTGTTATTGGATTACTCCAGGTTTTTAAACCTTGGTTCAATTTTGGTAACTCATATGTAGCTAGGAATTTATTCATTTAACATTTTTAAAGGATGGTTTTCCATTGCTAGCTTATGAAGAGTGCTTTTTGTGTTCAAGAATGTCTTTAGGGCCGGGGATTGAGCTCATGGTGCTGCCGCCTGCCTTGCAAGCATAAGGTCCCGAGTTCAATCCCCAGTACCCTAAATAAGTCTTTACAGTTATTACTTTTTTTTTTTGGTATCAGGGATCAAACTCAGGACCTTATGCTTGTGAGGCAGGTGGCAGAAACACTGAGCTAAATCCCCAGCCCCAATATAATTATTACTTTAAAATGACTTTTCTATCCTAAATATGAGTTTGGTGATGAGGAAGATTTTCATGTATGCTTAGTCTTTCTTCTTGAAATCAGAACTTGGGTTCCTCTGTCTTGAGGATTATTGGGCTTTTGGGATGGCTCTAGAACCTACTTGGTTTCTACTAATTACAAGGTCAATGACCTCGTCTGGTTGGGAAGCCCCAGAACCAGCCTTAAGTCCACTAGATAGGGATCTGAGAGGCAGTCTAGCCTCAACCCACGTGTCCCAGGGTCCTTGGAACGAGAGGCCCCCAAGACTAGTGGTGGTCTCCTGGGACCACTAAGTCCAGCCCCTTGACAAGGTGGGCACTCACTCTTGGCAGCTGCCTTGGGACCACCCATGTGACCTTATCAGGGGCTGATGAACCAAAGAACGGAGCTCACATACCTTGTCCCAACCCTACCAGTTGTGTGTCCCCCATTCCTCATGCCTACCTCCTTGCCAGGACGGAGGTCAGGTGCTTGTCTTGGGACTAGGTTGGTGCAACAGTGACAACCAGACCTGTACCCTCTTTTCTCCCCTAGAACGTGCTAGAGCTGAGCGTTTGTGATGAAGACCCAATAACACCCAACGACCATCTCTTGATAGTTCTCTATGACCTCTCCAAGCTCTGCTTCCGGAAGAAAGTCCATGTGAAGTTCCCACTCAACCCAGAGGTAGGCACAGGAGCCCAGGCCCACAGTGCCCTGCACCTTGAGGAGCAGTGGGTTATTCCCATGATGCCATTGCATGAGCTTCTCCCCATAAACACACAGCCAAGTCAGGAAAAGATAGTGCTGCCTGTTCAAATCTCAGCACTCTGTGTTACTAGCCACATGGAGGCTAGGAAGACAGCTTCGCTCCTCAGAGTTTCACTTCTCATCTATGCAACCGTGACAGTAACATCTACCCAGGGTGTTTTGAAGCATAAGTGAAAAGCGTAACTAAGGCACCCAGCAGTCCATGCTCATGCCACAGAATGGAGATGTTCATGCTGGTTCCTTTTCCTCTTTTCTACCCTCACAGTCCTGTTTTAGGGATGTCCAAGGAAATGGGTACCACTGAGAGTAAAGGAGGAAAATCCACAAGTCAGAAAAGTTCTGAGCTAAAGAGATCCAGTCATTTAACAAAAGCCTGACATCCAGCAGCAGGGCAGCCATGCTTGTCACCCTGCCCCTTAGGGGCAGGCACCCTTCCCCTCCTCTTGTTCCTGTGGGGAAACTGAAACCCTGGCTTGCCTCACGCTACACAAGAAATGCAAGGAAGGGCTAAGAGAAGGGCTCTTGCCTTGCCAGACTTGGGCTTTACTGAGGTTCCCTTGCTAGAGCTCTGAGCCTGCGGGAGGCTGGAAGCACAGTAGGGGCAGAGGGACACACGTGCTGGTGTAGGGGTCAGTGGCTCCCTCTGGCCCTCCCTGGGATGTCAGTGTTGTTCCTGATGTCAGAGACTTGGGGACAGAGAGTAGAGGGGGCAAGAAGGGCCGGAAGCTGCCCCTTCCCCGTGGCAGCAGGGCTGTGGTGGGTGGGGAACGACAGGGCAGATTCTCGGGCAGTAGCCGGTCCTGGCTGGCCAGACTGCACACACAGCTCACAGCCCCTCCCTCCCCCGCCAGGGCTTGGAGGAGCTGGAGGTGGAGTTCTTGCTGGCAGAGAGGTGAGTAGACCCAGCCCTGGACAGCCATGTTCCTGACCTCCAAGTGGCTCTCGGCTTTTTTCTGTTCTCCCCCTTCAGTCTTGCTCCGGCTCCCACTCTGGGCCCCGTAGTGAGCTCCAGCTCCCTTGGCAGGTGGGTGTGGGCCCTGCCCCTGCTCCCCAAGTGCAGCCATCAGCCTGCTTTAAAGATCCAGTCCCCTGCATTCCTGAGGGTGGCTTCTGGGAAGAATTCCTGCCAAGACAGTATGGGGGGCCTTAAGGGCCAGCAAGAAAAAGATCAAGACATCAGTTCTCTTGACCTGACCCAGAGCTGTCAGAACAAACACCCCCAAACCCTGGCCCAAGCTGCTGGACCCACATCAGCAGGGAGACCCAGTAGGGTCTTGGAGCTGTGACTGCTGGGCCACACACAGGAAGGAGAAGAGGGCAAAGAGAAGGAAGGGAGGAAGCAGGCAAGCCACAGTGCAGGAGGGCAAGATTCCTTGTGACAGGGCAGCCCGTTCTCCTCTCTTCTTAACTCTTGCAGGTTCGGGCCTTATACTTGTGATCAGCCTGGACACAGTGGGAGGGTAAGAGGCATGAGACAGGACAAGAGGTTTGATCAGGTTCCCCACTTGGAGAATCCTCTGCCGAGGAGAACTTGGACCGTTTGAGGGACCTTATTTCCCAGCATCAGTTGATTGGTGAATGAGAATTGGCTTCATTTCACATGGAAGAAAATCTAAGCTCCCAGGGACTGGGGATTTAGCTCAGTGGCACTGTGTCTGCCTCGCAAGGGCAAGGTCCTGAGCTTGATCCCCAGCACAAAAACAAAAGAAAAAGAAAAAGAGAAAATCTAGGCTCTCTTCTCCAGTTGTTGTTTTTGGGTTTTTTTTGGTGCCGGGGATCGAACTCAGGTCCTTGCACTTGTGCAGCAGGCGGTGAAACCACTGAGCTAAATCCCCAGTCCTTTCCTCCATTTCTTGGATGGACAGGACTTTTGGGAAGAGCTTCCATGCCTGAATTAGAAAATGGCTTACAAAACAAAATATGTCAAAATTCATAATAAAAGTTGATCTGAAGACACAGTCACCTTGGGCTTAATTTGGGGAGGAAAGGGTATGGACCAGAGCTAATTGTAAACTTGGAGGCTTATAGCCTCAATTTTATAAAAGATGTCTAACAATTTTACAAAATTTTACAAAGATGTCTCACACCCACCAGACTGCCCACCAGACAATTTTACAAAGATGTCTAACACCTACCAGACTGCTCTCTGGCTGGGTTGGAACTGTTAGGTGCATGCATTAGGTAAAGCACACAATGGAGACTGGATCTTTTTTTACACAAGATATTTATTCCAAGTTAGTTATTTTATGTAGTAGTTTTCCCCCTCAACAGACTTATGATAACCACAACTTTTAATAGCTGTAAATAATGTTATCAAAATAACCTTAGTCTTTGAAATCTCACAAAAAATTTATATTTTACCATTCACCCTGAATAACAAGGCTTTAAGAATAACACACTTTCTATAGCCAAGTATTTTACAGGTATACCCAAAAAAGGAAAACAAAACAAAAACCATAGGTTGGTTAAGGGCTAAAGTTACCCAAGCAGCCAAAAATAAAATAAAATAGAGAATGGATCGTTTTGGTGATGAAATTGTTTACATCTGCCCTAGCTGGTGGGGAGCAGCCCTTTCTTGCAACTTGTTAATCCTTATAACTGTATGCAGTTGTATCTAGTTGGACATAAAGGATAGTTATTCTTTACAAATAATGAGGGGCCTGGGATGTAGCTCAGTGGTGCCACCACCTGCCTCGCAAGAGCAAGGTCCTGAGTTTGATCCCTGGTACCAAAAACAAAATAATGAGAACTTTTCTGTTCTTTCTGACCCATAAGTCTCATCTTCTTCTGGACAGTCTACTTAAAATGCCAGTTTCCTCCTTGATCATCTACAAATCTAAGGTTTCTTACGCTGGTGTTTTTTAGGATAGCCAAAAAGGCTCTGCTATTTTATTATTGACCCTATTTATGTCATGAGAAATCAATCAAGAATGGTGGAACTGAGCAGGAATTCTCATCTTGTTTTTTAGTCCCTCTCCGGCGGAGACCCTCATCACCAATGGCGTGCTGGTGGTAATTTTCCTTCTGGTTAATGTAGCTCTAGAGGCCACATCTGGGTGCTGCTGTCCCAAGAGAGGATACTATGCCAGTGTGAGGCCTTGTCCTGTCCTGAGCCCTGGAGGAGTAGGACTAAATGACCCAGCTGAACAGGAGTTGTTCAGGAGGTGGCTAGGGCATCCCTCTGGCCCAGAGCCCCACCTCCCCAGAAGATGGCCTTCCCTCTCGGGGCTCTCCCCAGTAAAAGAACCCACTGAGGGCAGCCTCCTCAGACTCAGTTCTGGTACCGTCCCCAACAACCCCAATTCCTCTGTAAGCACAATTGCAGTATTAAATATTTTTCCCTATTTCAGCTATTGGTACAAATATATATTTTTTTTTATTGGTGCCAGGGATCAAACTTGGGTCTTTGTGCTTGCAAGGCAGGCGGCAGAACCACTGAGCTAAATCCCCGGCCCTGGTACAAATATTTTAATCAAATGTATCTAATACCCCAGGGTCCAAGGAGACCTCTCCCTCAGTAAGCAGAGGCTTTGCTGAAACAGGGGTGTAGCTCAGGATCAGAGGACCTGTCTGTCACACATGAGGTCCTGGGTTCCATCCCTAGCACCACAAAAAAACAAAAAACAAAAAACAAAAAAAACCTCCCAAAAATAAAAGGCAGAGGCTTTGGAAAATTGTTGCAGAAGAACATGGCCGGTTTCTGTGTCTTGAAAAAACTACTTAAAAGTCCTCACTTTCAAAGTGCACAGCTGAACACTGCCCCGGGTAGATCCCGACAGGCCCCTTGGTAAACTGCGACCACATGTCCTAGAGCTTACAGGACAGCCTCATGGTCAAGTACCAAATATCCTGTCTCTGATTGGGGTGGCATGTCTTGATGGGGCTCAGAAATGGGGGGCAGCACACCCAGGGCTCCCACCATCAGCCCAAGGTCAGGCAACCCAGAATTCATCCCCTTCGGCCAGGCTGAGGGGGGAGGCGGCCTGTGCGCTGAGTCCCAGTGCCCTCTCTGCTCTGTTACAGTCTCGCCAAGTCTCTTGCCTAGAGGTTCACGCAGAATCCAGGCGGCAGAGGAAGAGGAAGAAAAGTGAGCGTCTGGGCTCCCTGCCCTCTGGGGAGATGGGGGCTGGGCACTTCCCAGCCCAGCACTACCTACAGCCTGCCCTGCTCTGCTCTGCTCTGCTCTGCTCTGCTCTGCTCTGCTCACAGGCCAGGCCAGGGAAGGGGGAGGAGGCTTAGTTGAAACTCCTCAGCACTCCCCGCCCTCAGGGTCCTGAACCCCTGTCTTCCCTGCCTGGCATCCTGGGTCTGGGACCAGTGCTGCCCTCTCTGCCCGCACCCCCTCAGGACAGGTGTGGCCCAGGGCCAGTTCAGTGGGTAGCCCTGGGGTAGCCCCTCTAGCTGTGTCCCCTTTTCCAGCCAGCTCACCTTTCACAGAGTCCTACTGACTGCTGGGCGGAAGGGACAGAAGAGATCCACAGACACCACTGTCCCACCCTAGCCCCCTGCAGTCCAGCCTATCCCAAGAAGACAGGAGGCGACAGAGGCCTCCAGGCTGACACTGTGATGAGTGGCCAGTGACCTGGGTCTGGTCCTAGGTGCTCTCAGCAGCCCAAAGGGCTTTCTGGGGATTTCACTTATGAGCAGTGTTCACCAGCCTGGTCAAAGTGCAGATTCCAGGGCCCTACCCTGCAGACAGAATGGGACTCTGAGGCACCGTAAACAGGACCCAGGGCATGTAGACACCTCCTGGCCTCTCCACATGGGCTTTTTGCTGGGTTAAGTGGGGTGGGTAGAGAGAAGCTTCCCAGGAATCTTACCTTTGTCCTCTTCCTCAGTGAAAGACCTGTTGGTGACAGTGACTGAATCCTTCGAGAACACCCAGCGCATCTCACCCCGCAGGGAGCCCTGCTGCCCTGACCCTTCCTCCTTCCACTACCCCAAGTACTTTCAGCCCTGCTTGCAGGTGGCTGTGCCCAAGAGCCACTGGGACTGTTTGGTATGCCGTACAGCAGCCATAATGGCATCGGGGGAGGGGGAGGACATTGTAGGGGTGCTCTCCCCATTCCCCTCTCTCTCACCAAGCCCATGCATCCTTCCAGCTCAGCTGCTGCAGTACACATAAGAGCAGTCCTGTCTGCCAGCCCCTCGACTGCCTTTCTGACAGCCAAGCCGTGACCCTGCCTGTGGTGAGGACCTGGGTCTGGGAAGGGGCTCTTGAGTGGCTCATCCTGGAGATCCTGTGACTAGGAGAGCTGGCGAGCCTGGGGCACACAGGGGAAGGGGACGTGTGAGATCTCTTGGGAAACACCGAGAGGTCTTGGGAGGCAGGAAGTGGAAAAGCCACCGAATGTGTGGAAGCCCAGTGAAGATGGTGGGGAAGGTCAAGTCCAGGGGACGCAGAGGGCTTGGCGCATGCGTGGGGTGGGCGGCATGGTCAGTCAGCCTCCCTGGTTGGGATCACTTAGCTCTAAATTGCTATCCCTGACAAGTTGTTCATCTTTCCATCCTCAGAATGAGAATTATGAACTACACATGAAGTCCACACCCTGGTAAAGTACCCCTTCTGTCCTTCCCGCTAACTTCTCCATACTGATAGGTGGGAAGCAGTATCTCCTTGTGGCTTCCATTTGCATTTCCATGATGGCTAGTAGTGATGAGCATCTTTCATGGCTTATTGGCCATTTGTATACCTCTGTGGAGATGTGACTATTCAAACACTTTGCCCACTTCTTAAGCAGCCTGCTTGCCTTAAGTTGAAAAAGTTTGTTGTATATGCTAAGCACAAAACCCTCATAAGATACCTACATTGCAAATATTTTCTCCTATTCATGGTGTTGTGTGTCTGTGGGGTTTTTTTTAGTTTATTGTGTTTTTGTGTTCTTAATGGTGTCCTTTGAAAACCAACGATTTTTAATTTTGATGGAGCCTATTGATTGTCTCCATTGCTTGTGTTTTTGGTGTCATATATAAGAAATTGCTTCCTAATCCAAGATCATGCTGATTTATGGAGCTTCATGAGCTGGGTGTTGGAGGGTGCAAGACATAGGTGGGAAAAGGAAGGGTGCTTCTGGTGAGGGCAGCAGAAATCAGGCCACTCCTGGGGCTCTGAGAGCCTGGCAGGCCCTTTCCAGGACGTGAGCATGGGCAGGTCAGATAAGGTCTTAGATCCAGGCTAAGACCCTGGACTTGTTCCAGCCAAGGATGTGATAGAAAGAGGGCAAGACCTGGGCCTGTCATGGCCGTTCCTGTCCCCGGCCTTGAAGGCCTATGGAGACAGCATGGCGAGGTCAGGGATGTGCGGGTCTTCTGTCAGTGGCACAAGTGCAGGAGGACTGTGATTCTGTGATCAAGAAGGGCTTCGTAAGGAATGGAGCTCTGTGGGAATGGGAAGCTGGTTTATTGAGCTCCAAAGAGTCCGTGCTGTAGAGCTTGGCCTGGGGGATTTGCCAAGAGAATCTCAGGGCCCCTTGTCACCCATGTTGGGCCTCCGGTTATTGAAGGCACCTGGGAAGCTCTCCTGAACTTCCCAGAGCCAGCTGAGGGGGCACAGGTATCAAAGAGTCCCGAATGCAAGGTGTGAGGTACCAGTGTACAGTATGCTAGCTGAAGTTTGGAGCTTTCCATCGGTTATCTCACTAAGTGCTGGAGACTGTGCTGAGGGGTGAGCACCATTTTACAGATGAGAACACAAAAGCCCAAAGTTGCAGATGTGGTGTAGGGCAGAACTGGGCTTCCAACCTGGGTCCAAGGGACCCTAAAGCTGCATCTGCCCCTCAAAGGTGGAGACAGGGGTTGGCTCAGCCAGGATCCTCTCTCCCCCAGCCCTGACACACTAGATGTACGACTGGGCTTCAACCTATGCCCCGAGGAGCTCAAATTTCTGGAGAAGCGGAAGGTGGTGGTGGCTGAGGCACTGAAGCAGGTGCTGCAGCTGGAGGAGGACCTGGCTGAGGACGAGGTGGGTAAGCAGCGGAGCTGGCCTGGGCTCAGGGCTGCTCTGGGCCAAGCTGATCCTTGCAACCCCATACCCCACAAGCCACCTGGCCCTTCCCTGCCCTGAGAAGTCATGGCACTGCCTCCCTGCCATGGCTGCACCTGCTGCACCAGATAAGACTCAGACATGCATTCACCAGGGTAGGGGAGGCCAAGTAGAAAGAGAAAGAAAAGTCTCCTGCTGCTCTTGTGTGCTGGATGTGAGTGACCGAGCCTGCCTTAATGACACAGGGGCCCCATGGCCTCTGCATCCCAGCTGGACAACGTTTTAAGCTGGCATCTGGTGCACCTCCCCCCCACACCCAAAAGGCCAAAGGTCCTTCATCCTTCAGCCCCTCTTCTCTCAGATCTGTACACACAGACAGCAGGGCACAGCTGAGAAGCAGCTTCCGCTCACAGGACCGACTGCTCTTCCTACAGAGGCAGACAGGGTGCCTCTGCCAGGGGGCCCTATGTCACCTCCCCTGTGAGGACTGGGGCCCACACTGCCCAGGGTGGCCCCCAGATGCCACCTGCTGAGTCTGGCCTTAGTCCAGATAGATACTGGGGGGCGAAGGAGGACTTGTAAATGGGCTTCAGCCAACTGAAGGCTCTTACAGGTGCTGCTAAATGAATACAGTGAATTTTGGCCCAAAGCCCCCTTCTTCCACCCATCTTGGAAAACACCCTAAGAGCACCTTAACCCTTTGTCAACCCACGAGTGCCTCCCTGCTCCTCCCCACACCAGGAGCTTCTTCCTGCTCTCACAGACAGTGCAGGCAGAGCATGTGCTGTGTATCAGCCCTGGGCCTGGTGTCCCTACCATCACATCCATCCGTGGAAGACGTGGGTGTGGCACTGTGGGGACCCTGGCCCCCACCCTGTCCCCAGTTCTGTCATCTGTCACCTGAGGTCTGCTATGAAAATGACATGAACCCATGACTCACCGAGCCCCTCCCGACATGCCACGGGGTCAGGCGCTGAGATCCAATCCCAGCCCACCCATGGCCCACCGCTCTCTGAAGGGCTCTCCTCTCCCCTCTCTGCTCTTTAGCCAGCCTGTCCTCCCCTGTGGTTCCATCTGAGCTGCTGTCTGTCATTCCAGTTCCTGCCTACCCAGCCCTGCCCTGAGCCCCCATCAGTCTGCCTCCTCCATGACCCCAGGTACCTCTGATAGCCATCATGGCCACCGGGGGTGGAGCAAGGTCCATGACCTCCCTGTACGGCCACCTGCTGGGACTGCAGAAGCTGAACCTCCTGAACTGCAGCAGTTACATCTCCGGCCTGTCTGGGGCCACCTGGTAAGGGGCCAGGAGCCACTGTCCAGTGGGGTCCAGAGCAGGCAGCAAATGGGCAGGCTGGGGGCCTCTGGATCTGTCCCCTCCCAGCCCAAGCAAAAGGGGCTCGAGACAGTGGGGAGCTTAACCTTTGAGGCTCCTTGTCTGAATCTGCAAAGCGGGGATAACAATAGCACTGACCACTTGGGACCGCAGTGAGACTGTGAGGAGCTCTCAAAGTACTAAGAATACAGAGTCACTGTGTACACGGCTGTTACTGGTGGCGCTATGGCGGGGACCCAGGGACATGTGGTCAATGATGAGTGGACCCCTGGCACCTGTGACCCCCTCCTGCTGGGACAAGCAGGTTGCCCTCTCTCAGGACTGTGCAAGTCTCCTGTGGTAGGGAGCTGGCCCTGACGCTCTGGCTTCCCCTCCCGCAGGCCCCCTGCCCTGTAACCTGCCCACTCCCCTGCCCTGCCCAGCTCCCTCACATAGCCTGAGGGAAGCAGGCAGGGCCTTGCTGAGGGCTCCCCCTCCACACTCTGCTGCTGACCAAGAGGAGAGAGTATGGGCTCATGATAGATCAAAATGTCTTATGACTCTTTAAATCAGAAAAAAATGGGCTTCTAGGTTAAAGAAAATGTTTTTTGTTTGTTTGTTTTGTTTTTTGGGTTTATTTTTTAAACAGGTTCGTACTATGTAGCCCAGGCTGGCCTTGAACTCATTATATAGCCCAGGCTGGCCTTGAACTTGTGGTGATCCTCCTGCCTCCGCCCCCGGAGTACTGGGATTACAGTCATGTGCCACCACATCCCGCAAGAAAATGTTTTACTAAATAACATCAATATATTTGTCTTACTACAACAGAATTATAACATTTGCTTTTAAGTATTTTTCTGTGGAAGGGAACCACCGAAGCCATCGTGTGGCCCTGACTTTGGATGGCTAGGGACCTGGAACCACCCACGGCCTCTCAGCCAGGGTACATCCTTTTGTGGTGGTGACTGGTAGGCCTGGGAGCCCTGGAGGTCTCTTACTATCCCTTTTACCCTAGAGTCCCTCTCATTTGAGCAAGCAGATATGAGTTGGCCCTGGAAAATTGTCAAGGGCTGGAGGCTTCAGCCCAGATGGGATAGAAGCAAGCCCTGAGAGTTGTTGGTGTGGCCTCTATGCTGAACTGGCTGGCCTCGGTATCAGAGGGGACTTCATTATGGACCTTCCTCCTCCAGATACCAAAGCCCGCCAATTTTCAAGTCCTTTATATAAAATGGCTAGTGTTTACATGTAAGCTACATGCTCTTTCTGTGTACTTTAAACATCTCTAGATGACTTATCATGCTGAATACAGTGCAACCACTATGTAAATAGCTGTTATTCTGTCTTACTTAGGAGGCAATAACAAGGGAAAGGTCCATACAGTGGGTTCAGTACAGAGGTAATTTTTTTCAAATATTTTTGATCCATGGCTTGTTAAACATGCAGATGAAGAACCTGAGGACAAGGAAGACCAGCCAAATTTGCCCAGCATGATTTTACAGCTGCGGGAGTGCAGTAATTTGCAGAGGGTCACTCAGCTAATGAGTGCAGACCAGGAGTTTGAACCCAGTTCAGGGTGCCTATTCTTTACACTAGAGACCACTCCAGATAGTAGGCCGTAGGATAACTCAATTCCAACAAGGTCAAGGGACAGCTGAGGCCCCTCTCCTGCTGTAGGGTGGGCAGGAAATGGGGAGGACCTCAGGCCCAACCAGGGAGGATGAGCGGCTGGAGGGGCCCCTGGCCTGGGCAAAGAGTGGGAAATATTCTTTCTTTTTTAAAAAAATATTTTTTTTTCAGTACTGGGGAATGAATCCTTTGCACTGAGCTACACCCCCAGTCCTTTTTATTTTTTATTTTGACACATGGTCTGGCTAAGTTGCAAAGTAGCCCAGACTTGGCTCACACGCGTGATCCTCCCAGAGTGCTGGGATGCCAGGGTGTTGCCACTGTGCCTGGCTGGGAAATACTCTTTTTTTTTTTGGTACTGGGGATCAAACTCAGGACCAGAACCACTGAGCTAAATCCCCGGCCTGTGAAATATCCTTTTGAAAACAACCATTAGCAAAGATTTTTGAAAGCTTTTTGGAAGGACAAAAGTAACAGAGTGAACCTTATGGAGGAGAGCGGGGTGTTTTTGTCTGAGAGATCTGACCAAATCCCACCTTCCTAGACCACTCCCTGTGAAAGAAGGGGTCACTGTTCAGATAGCTGCAGCCCAGAGAGCTCTGCCCCAGGGGCCACTCTCAGTGCAGAATAAAGAGCCCAGCATTTGCCCGGTGCCAGCACTGCTCCAGAGCTTTGTACATGGTGATCGTCACAAGGACTCAGAGCTGGGCACAGTGGTTAGACTCCCTCACCCCACACACAGGAAGACCGAGGTGAAGAGTGCCTACGTAGCTCGCCCAAGATCACACAGTGAGTGAGTGGCAGAGCGTGGTTTGAACCCAAGAAGAACTGGGTCTGGAATCTTCATCCTGACCCATGTGCTACACCCAATGCACAGTAGGAACTGGAGAAATTGTAGTGATTAGATAATTAGTAATGAGGTTCACCCTCCCTCCCGCCGCCAGGCCCCACCTCACCCTCTTTCCCCCAGGCTCCTCTAGCAGGCTTAGGGTTCCCCATGGCCTGGCTACCTTCTCCCACCTGGATCCAGGGATGATCACAGCAGGGCTGGGTCAGCTCTCTCAGCCATACCTGTCTCCCCAGGACGATGGCTACTTTGTACCAAGATCCGGAGTGGTCCTCCAAAGACCTGCAGTCTGCTATCTTTGAGGCCCGGAGACATGCCGTCAAAGACAAGATGCCCTCCCTATTCCCAGACCAGCTCCTCAAATTCAAGGAGGAACTCCGGCAGCGCACCCAGGAAGGCTACAAGGTCACCTTTACAGACTTCTGGGGCCTGCTGCTTGAGTCCTGTCTGGGGGATGAGGTAGGCATTCCGCTTCTCCAGGGCCTGCCTTTCTTCATCAGAGGTCACCACAGAGGGGCGTCTACACCTGCCGGTGCATCCTTGGACAGCGTGAGCCATGAAGTTATGGATGCATGATGGCAGAAGGTGGTTCAGTGGTCTCCCCACATTTCCGTTAGAGGATGATAGAGACTCATGTTGGGGGCAGCTTAGGTGCACCCCAATATATGGGCAGTGTGTCCTCCTAAAGCCACGCCAAGACACTTATGAGAGAAAATGGGGAAGGAGGAAGGACAGCTGCCAACCGTGATGCAAGTCTGACCCTAAGTGTGGGAGAGAGGAAGCAAGGTCAGGTGGAAGCATGCTAGGCTGCTGGCAGTCTAGGAAGGCTCCACAAGGCCTTGGGAGGGTCCCTTGGCCACAGCCAGCTGTGGGGAGTATCCTCCATCCCCCGAATGGGCCTGCTCTGCAGTGCTGCTGCACTCAAAGGAAGTGTGGCCTCAGCACCAACTTGGCCATGGATTTCAGAGCACAGCAGCTAGGGCCCTTTGTCTGTAACGTTCTCGGGAGTGAGAGCTCTGCAAGGCTCACTCTCCGGGCCACTGTACAGGAAACGTGCCCAGTCAGGTCCTCTAAGAACCAAGGAGCAAAATGTGCCCAAGACGAGAGCCAGCCTATGCTGGCAGAGCCATGTGGGATGTGGTGGAACAGGGGTGTCCCTTGGTGACATTGCTGTCCTGGACATCGGGGCGTGCTTGTCTAACACCTGTGCCCTTTAGGCCAGAGAGGCCTGGGAGGAATCGGTTTTGGCCGTTGCTCGGCCCCAAAGCAGAGTTGTCTCCCTTACCTACATCCAGGCCCATAGCTGTCAGTCTCACTCCTAAATGTGCCTGGGAATCGCGCATTCAAATCAGAACTTGCCAGAAGATGGAGGGGGAAGCAGATTATTTTCTGGCAGGTCCTTTGTTCTAGAAAATCAGACAGTTTGAGCAACCAAGGATGACTTGACTCTCACCTTCAATATTCACTCATTCCTTCCTTCAGTCTTTTAACTAAATTAATCTCCTGCTGCATGCCAGGAACTGGGCTCATTACTGGAGATTCAGAAAGGAATCAGACATAGCTAGTAACTCGTGTGGGCTGAGCATTTTGAGGGTTTAGCATGGAGAAGAGCCAGGGCCCCTCAAGAAGCAAGGCTGGAATGCTGCTGGGAGGACTCTGGTCTTCCACTCTGGCCAAAGCAGGAGCCGAATTCTCTCCAGCCCCCTTGACAATGACAGTGGACTGGGCTCCTCCATGAATCTGTGCCTTTACTTCCAGCACAGTCGGCTCTGTAGTGTCTAGATATCTGGTCCCAGTTCCTTCCTTCAAAGGAGGCCCCTCAAATCACTGGGCCATACTGAGTCTTCCCACGCAGGCTGGTGGGTCATCCAGGGAGGCAGGGAACATTCCCCAGGGGCGTTTGACTGGTGTCTGTGGCCCACACCACAGACCAGTGGTCTTGGGAGCTGGAAAGTGCCTGCTGGGGTCTGTGGGGTCCTCCCATCCTGCGTTGCCCCCTCCCCGAGGGGTGGCTTCTTCTGTCTGCTGCTTCCCCTTAACCAAATCCTTTCCCCACAGAGTAGTGAGTACAAACTATCAGACCAGCGTGCTGCTGTGTGCCAGGGCCAGAACCCCCTGCCCATCTACCTCACCATCAATGTCAAGGATGATGTAAGCAACCAGGACTTCAGAGGTAACACTGGTGGCCAGTGATTTAGGCAGGGGCCCTGCTGGGCGGGCAGAGGCACTTACCACCTCCAGGTCCCCCCCACACACACTCTCCCATCCTCCACATCAGAAAACCGAGGAAATCACTTTGGCTTCCCCAGTCAGCCCTTCGCCAAGGGTGGGCACAGCTCATGGGTGCATTTGATGGGACAGGGAGACTTCAAGGTTGTGAAGGGGAGTCCTAGGTATTTCTTAAGCTGTCTAGAGAAGGACTGGGAAGACCTGCCCTGCACCAGGGTCGGTTTGATCCCCAGTTAATTTATCTGGTTTTGAGGAGCAAAGGAGCCCACCCCCTTGCAAAGCTGTCTTGTCAGCTTGCAGAGGCTGGCTGCGGGCGCCCTGAGTGTACGCTGTAGGAACTGCACCTTCCCTGTCTCACGCGTCCCCAGGCCAGGAGCCAGAGAGGGAGGGCCGGCTGGACGGGACATGCTTGGCTCCCTGGACTGGGGCTAATGCCCTGTCCTTCTGCTCCCTGTGCAGAGTGGTGTGAGTTCTCCCCCTACGAAGTGGGGATGCAGAAGTACGGGGCCTTCATCCCACCCGAACTCTTCGGCTCTGAGTTCTTCATGGGACGGCTGATGAAGAGGATCCCCGAGTCACGGATGTGCTACATGCTAGGTAACTGGATGGGGGCTCCCCAGGGCACCCGCCCACTGTGGGTTAGAGGAGTGCAGGAAGGCTCTTGTGCCGTGCTGACCTGCCCACGTGAGCCCTGAGCATGTGACTTCCTGGCACCTCAGTGCTGCCTTCTCTCAGGAGGGGCTCCTGAACCTGCCAGCCTCCAGGGCTGCCTTAACCTCCCTATGGCCTTCTTGGCCCAGAGAAACCTGACATCTCACACACACACACACACACACACACACACTGGTCACTGGGGACCCAGGGACTCTCCGGTGTCCTGGTCTCCCGTGGCCTTCCTGGGGACAACTCAGAAGCAGCCTGGCTGTGGCAGGTTGAGACAGAAGCCTCTGGAACCCCCACCTCCTCCCCACGGACAACAAGCCGCAGTGTGCGCTGCCAGTTCAGCCCCTGGGCAGAAGGGACCGAGGGGTAAAGGGTAGAGCCACAGGGAAGCCCAGCCAGCTCCCCACCCTAGGCTCATAGTCCTTCCTGGGCGAGGCCCACTGAGTATAGGAGCAGTGGTGATGTCTACTCTCAGTTCTTCCCTTCAGTGTCTCAACTGCATCTGCCAAAGGGTGACCTCAGAACTCAGACCCTCTTCCTGGCCTCAATAACAGTTACGCCCTTTGTGTAAACTCCTTCCTTCTCTCTTAATCCATCCCATTTCAGAAGGCTCAACGCCGGTCCCATCTCTTTTGTGAAACCCACCCAGAAGCTCCCAGCCCACGGTGGCCTCTACTCTCCTGAACACCTATGTTCGTGGCCAAATGGTTCTGAAGACTGTAGTTAACACACTTGGATTTGAACTCTGGTTCTTCATTTATTAGTTGTGTGAAGTTGGCTAACTTGTTCTCTGAGCCTCGGTTTTCTCATCTGTGAGTTGGGCTTAAGAGTAGAACCTACCTTGGAGAGGATCCCGATGGGCCAATGTATGTGAGAAAGTTAATGAGTATTGTTATTAATGTAGCATTTTAAAAATAATGAGTTGACATTGCATGTATCAGGCCTCACTGTATGCCAGGCACTGCCCTAAACACATTAGCTCTATGAACTGATGAAAGGAGTTGATCTGGACTGGAAATCAAAGCCTATGCCTGTGGCTTGTCTACCTCTGCTCCCTGCACTGAGGGCTGAGCAGCTACCCCATGGGAGAAGGGAGCACCTGGCTGGGAAGGCACCCCAGCAAGGCAGAAGCTGTGGGGCTCCTAGGCCGGGGCTCCAGAAAGGGCTGCTCATGGGCTCTGCTCCCTAGGTTTGTGGAGCAGCATCTTCTCCCTGAACCTACTCGACGCCTGGAATCTGTGCAACACCTCAGAGGAGTTTTTGCACCGATGGACGAGGGAGAAAGTACATGACATCGGTGGGTGACTCAGTACCTTTCTTTCGTGGCTGAGTGACAGGCAGTGTGGGGCAGGAATAAAGGACCTGCCACGTGTGTCCACACTGTCCTGTGGCCACAGCCATGGAAGGCACTGGGGCTGGTGGTGGTGGGGTGACCCAGGTGATGCTTGCGTCAGGGCCCGGCCACCTCCAGTGCCCAGGAGAGCAGGTAAGGGGAGGGGTCTGTCTGAGACCTCTGCATCTCCACTGCCGACCCCGGCCTGTGCTTCTGACCAGGCCCTGTAGAGCGAGGCAAAGAAGGTGTGAGATGCACTTATGGACCCTCCTGGGGGCAGGTAGTCGAGGGTGGCTCACCTGAGCGATCTAGGAACCCCAACTCAGGTGACCTGCCCTCTACCCCCGCCCTGCAGAAGACGAGCCACTCTTGCCTGAAATCCCCAAATGTGATGCTAACATCCTGGAGACCTCGGTAGTGAACCCAGCATCCTGGCTGTCCAATACTTTCCGAGAAGTCCTCACCTACCGGTCCTTCGGGTCTGAGTTCCACAACTTCATGTACGGGCTGCAGCTACACACTGGGTATCTCCGCAACAGCCACTTCCAGAAGTGGAAAGGTACCACGGGCGCCCCTGGGCCCACCTCTGTTGGGAGGAGAGCAGTGGAGGGCGAGCTGCCTTGGAGAAAGGAGGAGTGGAAGACTGGCCCAGTTCCCCTAACATTTGGCCTTGTCACCGCGAATGGATTATGGGTGTGCCAGCAGGGGCCGCTGTGGGTATTTAATCAATTGATTGAACAATACGCAACCCAGCAATGGCCTGCTCCTGCAGATGGGAGACACAGGCCCCTGTTTTCTGCAGCTGTGTTGGGGGTGGGGTCGGGGTATTAAAGCCATGTCCCCTGCAGTTGGACAGGGATGGCTCAGGGCAGGAAACCTGAGCAGTGAGAAACAGTGCTCGGTCTTCAACCCTGCTCTCCTACTTTCCACTCACCACCTCCTTCTGCTAAGGCCCGAAGACTGGCTTTCCATTCTCTTTGATATTCTATTTGGCCATGACCCCCCAAAGACTTCCCGAAGGCTGCCTATTAACCCTTGTCCTCATGGTCTGGGGCAGAAAGGCAACAGGCTTCAGGCCCCGGGCAGCCCTAGTTAATAGGACGGGCTAGGTTCCCTATAGGGCCCTATAGGCCCTTAAGTCCCTATAACCCACAAGCTCTGTGGCTGGGTAGGAAGAAGTTGCTAAGCATAACCCATAAAGGACTTGCTGAAGTCCCCAGAGCATGTTGTTATTGACCATCCCACCCAGAGGAGCTGTGGGGGCCCAGGAGTGTCCCAGTCAGGAGGGGGAAGGCTAGGATGTTGTAGCCCATCCCTGAAATCCCAGCACAGCACTCTGAGAGGCTGAGGCAGGAGGATCACAAATTTGATCCTAGCCTAGGCAATTTAGCAAGACCTTATCTCAAAATTAAAAAAAAAAAATTTTAATGGACACAGAGAGAGAGAGAGAATAAAGAACGGAAAGAAAAAGCAAAGGAGAGAGAGAAGAGATGACAAGAGAAGGGAAGCTGGGGGCGTGGGAGGCTGGTGTCCCAGGCTGCAGGAAGGAAGCTCCAGGCAGGGCATTCACCCACCAGGTGCCTCGGAGTATGCACCCTGGCAACTGGAAGTCTTGGCTTTCAGACACAGTGCTGGACCGCTTTCCAAACCAGCTGACAGAGTTTGCCAAACACTTGTGCCTGCTGGACACGGCATTCTTCGTCAACTCCAGCTATGCACCCCTCCTCAGGCAAGAGAGAAAAGCTGACCTCGTCATCCACCTCAATTACTCCGCTGGGTCCCAGACGAAGGTGAGTGCTCAGGAGGAGGCTCCACCCTGAGGGCAGGTGCAGCAGAATCAGTGTCATAGCCTTGGTGGCCTCAGTGTCTGTGACAAAGGAGAAGTGGCCCTCCCCATGGCTCTGCAGCCTAGCATGGGAGGAGCTCAGGCCATAGGGCATAGCACAAGGCTGGAGGGCCAAACCTCAGGGGCAGCCAGCAGGCCTGAGGCAAACATAAGTTTATCTAGCAAATCCCAATTTTATTCTTGTCTTTGAGCATTGGCCGTATGTAGCCATCAGCGTAAAAAAAAAAAAAAAAAGATGAAAAAAAATAACCTTAATAAGCCAAGTGCAGTGACACACACCCATGATCCCAGGACTGTGGGAACCTGAGGCAGGAGGACCACAAGTGTCAGTCTGTCTTGGGCAATTTAGGGACTTAGTGAGACACTGTTTCAAAATAAAAAAGGCCTGGTGATGTAGCTCAATGCAAAGGCCCTGCGTTCAGTGTCCAGTTTGGGGGCCAGAGGACTTAATAGGACCTAGTCCACTCTAAAGTTTTGTACCCCTTAAAGAGTTTAGAATGCCCTGCTTTCAAAATAATCATACTGGGCCCGTCTCCACCAGGAATGATAGTGCACTGTGTAATTACACTAAGGAACAAGGACCATTTACTTTTTTTTCTGGTACTGAGGATCGAACTCGGGACTCTGTGCTTGCGAGGCAGGTGGCGGAACCACTGAGCTAAATCCCTGGCCCCAAGAACCATTTATTTTTGAAAAGTTCTGGCCCTTTCAGGAAAAGACACTGATTTGGGTCTACTTTGATCTACTCCTATCCCGACGCTAGGGAACAGGAAGTACACAAAGGATAAGGATGCCAGCAATGTTAGCGACCTAAGTTTATAAATAAGTAATGGTGTACTTTCCTACACGTGGTCTCACCTGGTTCTGACCCCAGCTCTTTGCAGTTGATGTCACAGTTGCTACTGTCTCTGAGTTTCAGAAGGACAGGGAGGGTATGTGGCTTCCTTAAGGTCACACAGCGAGCAAGCCATGGAAGAGGTGCAGAACCAAGGGGATTCAGACACTACGTTTGGTGCTCTTTCTGCTGCATCACATTTTTTAAGATATTTTTTCAGAATCTAGCCCTGTGACCCTGTCATTTCCAAAATCCGTACATGTGCACAGTAGCCTGGCCAGCCCAGCTCCGGTCACTCCTACCCCACAGGCTGCCAATCAGGCCTACACAGGTCCTTGCTTGAGTAAGTGCCCAGGGGGCTTCTCTCCAATTCATCTGGGGAAGGAGCCTACAGCTGGGCCCACACCAACTCGCTGCCTAGGGCTTCTTGTCCTGACTTGGCTTTTGTCTGAAAATACCACAAACTGTCAAAGCAACTGGGCACGTAGTTGTTAGGAAGCTGGATCCAAGAACTCCATCTCTTAACCACCCTCAGCCTTCTAGTCCTCAGACCTGTCCTCTGTGGTATTCCAGCCCATGAAACAGACCTGCGAGTACTGCACTGAGCAGGGGATCCCCTTCCCCAGCTATGGCATCGAGGATGATGATCAAAACCTCCAGGAGTGCTACCTGATGGAGCAGCCCCAGGACCCCGATGTGCCCGTCGTGGCTTTCTTCCCGCTCATCAACGACACCTTCCAGAAGTACAAGGCACCGGGTGAGCTGCCTCCTCTCTGGCCACAGCCCCTCCAGCCCTGGCCTGAGTGCCTGCTGTAGATTTGTGGAAGCCCTGGTAGCGCAGTGGGAAGCCAGGCTTCACTGCAGGTGGAGCCATCTCGGCTTTGACAAGGAAGAAGAGAGCCCCGCCCACTCCCCTACTCTTTGTAGTCATTCAGCATTTCTTGACACCCAACTATGAGCCTGGAACTGGTTGGTGCTGGGGCAAACCCAAAATGGGAAAGCTGTACCCTGCCCTGAGGTGCTTGAGTGTGTGTGTGTGTGTGTGTGTGTGTGTGTGTGTGAGTGTGCATGTGCGCAAGCGTGAGTGTCCATGCATGCAGGGCGGAAATAAGTCCTTGCAACCTGACATAAGGGTCCACAACAAGTCTTTTTGCTTCCCAGGCGTGGAGCGGAGCCCCGAGGAGATGGAGCTGGGCCAAGTTAACATTTATGGCCCCAAATCTCCCTATGCCACCAAGGAGCTGACATACACGGAAGCTGCCTTTGACAAGCTGGTGAAGCTCTCAGAGTACAACATCCTGAATAACAAAGACAAGCTCCTCCAGGCCCTGCGCCTGGCAGTGGAGAAGAAGAAACGCCTGAGGAGCCCATGTCCTTCCTAGGCCCAGGGAGCCCCATCCATCCTGCGGCTGTTTCTGCCCCATCCAAGGCCTTCACAGGCCACACCACCAGCCCTGCTCTCCGGCCAGGAATGCAGGCGAGTGGCCTGGGCTTTCCACCAAAAAAACCAAAATCATGGAAAGGGGAGAGGGACAAGGAGAATGAGGAGCCACCCTGGGGTTTTAGGCCACTGGGATTTCTTTCCCCGCTTCCCTACGGGGAAGGGTCTGATGGCCTCAGACTCCCAGTGCTGTCCTCAAGCATGGAGAGGAGTCTGGCCTGAGAGAGGGCCTGGTTCCCAAGGGCCTCAGGCTCCAGGCCTTCCCCGTTCCCCTCCTCCCACAGGGGGCCCAGGGGATGCTTGGCACGACTGAGGAGCACTCCCGGTTTCCCGGCAAAAACACTTTTCAAATTTTAAGGTAATTGGCTCCTTATGATTTTTATCATCAAAATACTTTATGATTTTGACTTTTATGAATCAGGGTACTAGCAGGAAGCCTGATGCTGAGAGACCTAAATGGAGTGCCAGGGGCATCCTAGTGCCTGCACCAACAAAGCCAAGCAGGTGACCGGCGGCTCCAGCACCTCTCCAGTCACCCGGAGCCTGGGGCTGCTGATGCCTGTGATCTCAACCAGGCAGCTGTGGCTAAGCACCCAGCTCCAACGAAAGGCCAGGCAAAGCCAAGCCTACAGTGGGCTCCCAGAGCGGGGATCTAGTCTGGGATCTGGGCAGGCTGCAAAGGACAGCTTCAGGCAAGCAGAGCTCCCCAGTACTGCCAACACATGGCTCACTTCTCTCACTGCCCTGGCCATCTGGCTTCCAGATGAGATTATTTATTTCCAAGTATGATCCCTCTAGTTTATCATGGAAACCCCCAAGGCCAGTACACTGCAGCTCTTGGAGAATAAAGGGAGGAAGGAGCAGCAGGGAAAGGCAAGGGCACCCCTCCCAGGAAGAGCTCCTCCTCCCTGCCCCCCAGAGATGGCTTCCCACCAACCCTGGGAAAGCCCTGGGACACAGAGAAGTCCAGTCAGTGTGAACAGGTCTCCCTGGAGGCCAGGGATTTCACTGAAGAATGGTATCACTTGAGCTGCTGATGTGCCCAGGCTGATGGACAGTGGACACAGAAGGGCCGAAAGGGAAGTGGTCCAAGCAGAGCCCAGCAAGCCCTCTTTGGGCCAGTCTGCTCCCCAAGCAGCCCTTTGTTGTTGGGAAATGAGTTGGGTCAGGTACTCAATGCTTAGAAAAATTGGGCTCTCCTTCATAGCCTTGCTGCTCAGAGTGTGGTGGAAGCTGGTTAGAAATTCAGGTTCTCAGGTGCCACCCAGCCACACTGAATGGAATTGCACTGTAAAGAGACCCAGGCCCCCTCTCCCACCCCACCCCACCCCTGTGTGGCTCCTGTGTGTGTTAAAGTTGGAAAGGAAGCCAGGCTACCAGCATGGTGGCACACGCCTGTAATCCCAGTGTTACTGTGCGATGGGCAGGTATGATCCAGGCTCTTGCGTATGATGAGCAATTATTTGCAAATGTACACCAAGTAAAAGGCAGCTACATTTACTGAAGATCACAGGAAGCTGTGCTTGGGGCGAGTCTATGCCAACAAGAGATATGGCACGAACAGAAAAGAGGTGCCAGGGGACAGGAAAGCAAAAACACTGTGGAGAGAACGCAGCACACAGCAACAGCCACCGGTAGATCAATCTTCCAGAATTTAAAGGGTGTGCACCTCAGCCCCGGTGTCCCCCTGAGGCTCTAGGTGTGATTGGCAGGAATGACTGACAGGGTACTATGTTGTCTCAGGGGCTCTCGACACACATGCTTGTCCCAGAATTCACTCTGGTCTTAATTACATGGATGAGATATAGTCCATATTTAGGAACACGTAATGAGGTGGGAGTAGGGTGAAGATGACTAAAGATCAGGCTAGGAGATCCAACTGACATGCTCTCATGCATCAGAGATCTCCTGAGTTATTGTTACGTGATTTTCTACCTCTCTTAAGACAATGGAAGGAGGAATGGCCAGGGAGCTGTTTAAAATTAAGTGGATGGATGGAAGTGACTTCCATAGCTCCACTGTTTCTAACTGTACTACCTGCACTCTGGAGAGCTGAGGCAGGAGGATTGCAAACTGGAGCGAAGCCTGGGCAATTTAGGAACCTAGTGAGATCCTATCTTCAAATTAAAAAGGAATGAGTATGTAGCTCTGTGCAAGAGCCGTGGGTTCATTCCCTAATGATACAAAATGGGAGAAGCAAGGAAGGAAGGAAGGAAGGAGAAGGGAAGGGAAGGGAAGGGAAGAAAAAAAAAGTTAGAAAGCAATGGACTTATGCTACTGCCCCCTAAAACCTTGGAAAGCATAAATCCTTTGACTCCCTTGAGCCACTGGGAAGCTGGACTTCAGGACCTGCAACACCCGTCCTCAGCCAGGCGATGCTGACGGAGAGGTCACCCCTCCTCTCCACCAGAGCAGCCGGCTGCCCCACCCTTCCCTCCCAGCTGCAAGCATGGGGTTCTAACTTCCGAGACAGCAAGCACAGGGCCCGTCTGTTTTGAGAAGAAGGCCGCCCTCCCTTGGGTGCATGGTGCATGTTAAGTGAAGCGTGTGCATCGTTACACGATTTGAGCACAGAATAAAATGCCGTGTGGTGAAGTGCTGTGGACTTGTCTGCATTCATTACCTAATGCTGTGAAGCACCAGCCCCCCTCCCTGGCTTCCTGGGTGCCTTCTTTCTCCCCTCCAGGGTTCCCCTCACCACTGGGCCAGAGTGGACCCTTTGATACAGGAGATAATACCAGAGATGAAATAGGAAATATTATCTCTCCCAGCCTGTTAGCTGTCTGATATGCTGAGCTCATAGTCTCTGAAAGTGGAGGAACAACAGGGGTTAAGAGTAGGAAAACATTTATTGATAGGGTAGCTCCTGAGGGGCAGGAGGCAACCCAAGTGGGGTAGCCCAGGGATCCCACTTTACAGAGGAGTTTTACAGAGCAAAACCCATGTGGGTACAATGATCAACCAATAAGGTTGTAAATATAGTCACTCAGGTAATAGTGGTCCACTTGGGAGACAAGTTACATAACAAGGTGGATGCAAAGAACAAAGACTTCTAGGAAATGATGGGTCCAGGGGTCTCTGGTCACCCACCGGGGTGGCTAATGTCTATCTAGGCTTCATTAGGCCTGGTGTTTGTCCTTTGAGGAAGTGTGCAGTTCGGGCCATCTTGTCTTTATCCTGAGGCCTGGTCTCTCACAGATGTGTCTCTGGTGCAGCTGTGGTGTTTCACCTTTGTCCTGACTCTCTCGAGGACCTGGCCCTATTGGACTGCCTGTAATATTTCTACTTAACTCTGCTGTCTATAATAACCCATGCCTCCTCTGGGGGCTTTGTTTCCTGCTGCCTCTTTTTATGGTGAGGCCTCCTTTGGTTCTTGTTTTTGATACTGGGGATTAAACCCAGGGGCTTTGCACTAAGCTACATCCTCAGCCCTTTTTATTTATTCATTTCTTTATTTTTATTTTGAGACAAGTTCTCACTAAGTTGCTAAGTTACCCAGGAACTTTCTTTTTATTTTTTTCCTTTTGGTACCAGGGATTGAATTTGGGACCTTGTGCTTTCGAGGCAGGCGGTGTAACCACTGAGCTAAATCCCTGGGCCTGGACTGGAACTTCCAATCCTCCCGCCTCAGCCTCGGAAAGTGCTGGGATCACATGCCTATGCCAGCATGTTCAGCTTCCTCTGCTGTTTTTATGAAGCCATGTCACCAACACATGGAGTGCCATCCCACGCTGACCCAGGCTGCTTCCAGCTCAGATGTTTTTCAGGAAACACTGATTGGGAGGAAGGAAAGGCTATTGGCCTCGACGGAGCCCCTACTCTGTGCACAGTGGCTGTAAACAGTCTGTGTTCCAGGAACTTAGATTCCAGCATGGAATCTAAGGGGCATGGAAAGATGTTGATACACATATGAGAAATTAAACGCTGGGTTAGCCTTGGAGAGGACAAAAGTGTCATTGGCTCCCACAGGATAGTGGTCAGGAGTAGCTCCCTCTCAGGTTCCCTGCCCTCGACCTATGAGCATGATTAGCTAGAAAAGAAGTAAAATCCCCTGGTTCCCCAGCACCCCTCCATCCCAGTCTCTCTTTCTCCTTCCCAAGAGAGCAACCAGCCCACCTCCACCACCAGTCACCCTGAGACATTTTATGCCTTTAACTCCCCAAGAAACCCTTCTCCCCGGGATCACCATTATCTTCCTAACTGCCAGATGCACTGAACCAAAGCCACCAGCCCTTCACAGGCCGATCTGACTTGATTGTCCTCAGCATTTGGCCTGCAGATGCTCCTCCTCCCTGAAGCCCTCCCTTCCCTGACTTCCTTGCCAACTGCCCTTCAGTTGGTTCAGCTTGCAAATAGTTACGGCCTGCCAGCCACTGTTGTAGGCGCAGAGAATGAAAAGCATCAGCAAGGGACTCCAGACTGGTCCCAAGTGGGAGTCACCCAGGGACAGTGAGCTTCACAATGGGAAGAAAAAAGCTCACAGCCGGGGTTAGGGGGAGGCCTTCCGCCCTGAATTTCTGCCCACTGAAAGGAGGAAGCCTCTCCTACAGCTGCTCCTCCCTGCTCTCCTTTAACTGCTGGATTCATCATTCTGCCCTCCTTAGCAGTCTCATCTCTACCTGGATTTCAACTATTGCTTCTACTTTGAAAATACCCAACCTTTTAACTCTCATGTATTTCAGTTTTAGCCTCATGTATTCAAATCATGTATTCAAATACCGTCCGCACCTGTTTCCATTATTTTTACTATCTAAATAAAAGGTTTAAAATTATGATTGCTCTTGGCTCCATGGTCCAGGATGAGCTCTCGAGCTTCAACTATGACATCCATATTTCAAGCCACAAAAAGGAAGAAGGAGAAAAAGATGAAACTTCCTTCTGGCTAAGTAGACGTCCTAGAGTTCCCACACATCCTTCAGCTGACATACCACCAAACCAAACTTGGTACCTTTACCATAGTGATAGAGGAACAATATAACTCCCAACCTGTTAGATGTCAAATGTATGAGTTTGTGGTCTTGCAACATTGAGGACTAAGGTTAGAAACCGAAGGAGGAAGTTAGGACAGTTTTACTGGAAAGAAAGAGAAGAATAGCTCCTGGATTTCCAGGAGGGGTCCTAAGTGGGTGGCCACTAAGGCCCTTTGTCAGGGGTAATTTGTACAGCAAAGTCACAATGTGGGTACTGTAATCAACCTAAAGGATTCAAAGTATAGCTAATACCAATCCAATAGGGAAATGGGTCATGTAGCAAGGGTACATTGGAAGAACAAAGGAATTCTTAGACAGGAAAGGGAGAAGGGGTCAGGTGTTCTGGTCTCTCACCTCTATGTCTGATGCCTATCTGTACCCACAGGAGTAGGGGGTGCTAATTATAGTATAATTTAAAGTTGCTGTTTACCTCTAGGGGGGCTGCAGGCTTCCTTTTCTATCCTGAGACCTGGCTCACGTCAGATTCACCTCTAGACACCATTCTGATGTTTATATTTTTGGGGGTCTGGCTTCCTTGAGGGTCCAATCCCTCACTGACTGTATATTAATTTCTATCTAACTTAACTGCCTATAATAAGTTACCTGCAGAAAGGATGGGAAATTTTTTTTAACCTGGGTGGCAATATGCCCAGGTAAAAAGTCAGAGTTCTGTTACTAAAGAAGGACAACTTATAATCTTACTGCAAGCATTTACTGGACACCTCCACCAGCAGGTCCCACCAGTTATGCCTCTGACCTGGGTAAGAAAAGAACTGAATATGTCAGAGCAAAGGGGGTTCTTCATCCCAGGCCAAAGTACCTCCTCTGTCTCCCAGACCTTCATCCCTCTGCAAGCTGCTTTATAGAGTAAGATGCTGAGCTTGGCTAGCAACCAGGGCCAGCCACTGAACATAACCTAGTGGAAACCTTGCGACCAGCAAACTGGGGGTGGGAGACCTTACACAGGAATTACAATAAAATTTCCATATGGCAAAGAGAGCCAGAAATAATGTTACCTACCAGGGTACTTAATTCCAGAATTATTTAATATAACAAATTTCTGGGCAACTAGTGCTACTCCCTCTTGAACTGCCTGCAATAGGACTTAACCTACAAAAACAACTGGATTCAAAAGAAAAGGTAATTGGAATTTGGATTGTTTAGTCAGAAGAAAGCAAACAAAGAGTATCACAATGAGCAGGGCATGGTAGCACATGCCTATAATCCCACGACTCTGACAGGCTGAGGCAGGAGGATTGCAAGTTCAAACACAGCCTTGCTAATTTAATGACTTACTGAGACCCTATCTCAAAAGAAACAATTTTTTTTAAAAGGGGTGCCAAGGAAGACTTTGGCTTCAATATCCAGTGAAGGAATCTGACCACTACCACCCTGGTCTGAGCAGAGAACACTTTAAATCCCTTCCCATGTTATGCTTGTACACCTGCTGTAAATATATCATCATGGGTCGATAAGGCCCAGTCAGTACAGTGTAAGTACAGCTACACCCTACAGTTCCAAATCATCGTTCAGCCCTGCTCTCGACAAACATGTAACTCCAAGTACATCCCAAGCCCGGTCCCGGGCAGAGAGCCACAGCTCCTTTGTACTGAACTCTCCTCCTTGACACTTCCATTATGACCTTTTCCTTCCACAGCCCTCTCCCCCGTTTTTATGCTCATGACCCTACAAAGACCTTATAGCCTACATAAGGGTGGCTGGTCTGGTCACAGTGCCAGAGCTGTCCTTCTCAGGTTTATCCTGAAATAAACCTCATACGTGTTTCTTTTCCCTTTTGTCCTAACACCCAGTAACCCTACACACACGTGCGTGCACACACACACACTCACACAGGAAAAGAGTATCACAACAGGCAAAGTGATCATCTGTGGAAGATCAGTCAGCCTCCCTCTCCCCTGAGGACAGAGCTGCCAGGAGAGAGGCATTGGTAGCTGTAATCCAGCATTCTGGGAGGCTAAGACAGGAAGATCGCAAATTTGAGCCCAGCCTGGGCAATTTAGGGAGCTCCTATCTTAGAAAATAAGTAAAATAAAATAAAATAAGCTAGGAATGCAGCTCAGTGTGAAGGCCCTCAGTTAAACCTTCATTACTTCAAAAAAAATTTCCATACATTCACTTTTTTAAAGAATGGTGGTTTAAAAACCCCCACATAACATAAAAATTTACCATCTTAACCATTTTTAGTGCACAGTTCAGTAAGGCTAAGCACTTTCACAGTGTTGTGCAACAAATCTCTGTAACTTTTTCATTTTGCAAAACTGAAACTCTATGCCCATTGAACAATTCCCCATTTCCTTGTCCCTGCAAGCCCTGATAACCATCATCTGACTTTCTGTTTCTATGAATTTGACTACTTTAGAAAACTCAGATAACTAGAATCATAAGGCATTGGTCTTTTTCTTTTTGATACTCATCTTTTTATAACTGGCTTGTTTAACTCAACATAAGGTCCTTAAGACTCACCTATGTTGAAGCAGTGGGCAGGATTTCCTTCTTTTTCAAGGCTAAAATAACAGCAACAATAATAATACAGTAATCACATTTTGTTTATCCATTCACCTATTGATGGATAGCCTCTTGGCTACTATAAACATAATAATAATG